AACTGCTGGAAAACTTGGGCTCAGCATCTCTCTGGTAAGCAGAGAGCTCTAGAAAGCGAGTCCCAGAACAGAGACCCAAATTCTGCTCATCCTACCAGATTCCCTCAGACAGCATTTCCACTGCACTGCTCTGGTTCCTGCGGCAGATCTCTTTTTAATGGGATTGTACTGAAGCCACTTTGGCTGCATTTTTATACCCATTATAGATTTCCGTTGCATTTATTTTCTGTCTCCTCAAATAGAAATCCCTAAAATTTAACACAGTTTGCTCCAAAAGTTTCTCTAGTGTCATGGCATTTCAATGGTAATATTACTATGCTATTTCTTTTCTGTTGAAAGTATGTTCTGCATGTGGCATGGATATCTCTAATAATTGTTCAACATGAGTTACACAGGAGTCCTGTTCAACATGAGTTTCTGCTGGAATGAAACAGAAGAATTTGTGGTGGTGGTGTATTGACCAGGACATCAACCATTTAGGAAGCAAAACCAGCGTAGACAGACCCAAAAATGATCACAGTATATGCATATGTTCATCTCTCTGACCTATGGGGAAAAAAATCACTACAGGAGTCGCGACCTGCCTATCTGATCTACAAATCTTGCTTTGTTATGTGACCAGCTCACAGAAATGTACAGCACAGATGAAAGGCAACTACCATTTTGCTGACAATTTGCTGGAAAGAACTGTAGGCATTCATGTGTTGGTAAGGTGCACAAGATTAAAGTGTCCAAAATCTGCATCTTTTTTTCCCAGTATTATTAGCAGCTTTTTTTCCCTAATCATAATTATACTGAAAGGCTCATTTCTTCTTTACCCTGACATGCGTATGCTTTTAGCATCTGAAAGTCATGTTACTAGGCAAATGTATAACATCAATCAGTGTAGCAAGCCATTTTTAAGAATACCATGTTGGCTTGTATTCCTGCCCTGCTCTCCGCCCACAGATAGTTGGCTTCTGATCATTATCCCTGTAGAAACCAAGAGGAACTTTGATTTAAAGCGAGCAGCATGGGCTCTCAGAGTCATGTTCTCCCCTCTAATCAGTCAGCAAAATGAGTGAGTTGCAACAGAGAGCAACACATGCAGCATGCATGGGAGTGGAAATGCCACACAAGGACTGAAAAAATCCTTCACCAGACAAAAACCAGGACTCACATATAGCTCTAGCCCTGCTTTTGGGCTTAGCCTGAGCGATGGAAGGTCACTAAAAGAGCGACTGCGACGAAGCTTGTCAAAGAAAGTGTCTTGCAGAGCATCTAAGATTGTCAACTTTGGCCTGTCTTGCAGGGGATGCAGCCATTTCTTCAACAGTTAAAGCAAACAGGGTGTGAGGAAGGGCAAGTCAAAGGAATGCTTTGTAGCAGAGTTCTAAATTACAGGCATGGGATGCAGCACTTGTAAAATTCATATCTGTACAGATGGCCTTAATTCACAGTCCTGATTAAGCATTCAGAATTTGATTCATGCAAAAATGTAACAGCACCCTGTGAATACCTTCGGTACAGGGGCAAATTTGACCATGGGATGCATTAAAAATACTAGTGCTATAATGGTTGTTACTGTTACAAAATGAACATTTTTAAATTTAAAGATTATTCAAGTATTATAGCAGTCAGGCAAGAAGAATAGGTATGCGATAATTGGCATACATTGTTTCAAAGATGCCAGGACCACAGTCACGTTTTACGATTAGCAGCTAGGAATGCACTTGCTTTTAAGTATTTGTAAGGCTAACCTGCTGGAACTGGGGAAAAAAGGCTTAGACGTGTAAAGCAATGAAGCGTTTGCAGTGTTTGAACTGCTCTAGGGCTTTTCATTATATAAACATGAAGCCAAACAGAGCTTACAAAGAATGAGTGGTCCTTGAAGGTTGGCGTTTCTGGAGTGCCTTGGCTGTACATGGACATTCTCCTCTGGAGAGCAGATGCTTTGCTCACGTTTCCTGCGGACGGGGTCAAGTCTTCAACATCGAAGGGGCTACAGACACACAGGCAGGAAAAAAAAAAATGTTGTTAGACTGAGTGAGAAGGAATTTCAGGTCCACGGGAAAGATTTTTGAAAAGGTGGTTTATTAGCATATCAGACCCCAGAGGTAGCAAGTTTTTTAACAGAAGTGTTTAAAAGAAAATGTTGTTAATTAGACAGCAGGCTCAGAAGTGTGGTTTTCAGTTCTGATAAGTGTTCTACTCTTGGAAATCATTTACGTAGTGTAGTTTGACGTTATTCTTCTCACATGACAAGTATTCTCGGCTTTGAGTTGCCAAGTGTCACACATACTGATGAGAAAGGTGCTCCACTGTTGATAGAGCTGTTGCATTATAAAGGAAACCAGTAGCTGTTATTGCTGGCTTCGTGTTTATTGCATTACAAAAACCAGCATACGTGACTGCAGAAGTTAAATGCATCAATGCTTCTTCAGAAATGACATTTATCTGTTTCATTAAAATGCAGTGAGAATTGGGTTGGAATCTTACTACCATCAGCTTACCTATGCTGACCAATACAGACAGACAAAGCTAGGAGATTCCCCACCACCCTCATGGTGTATGAAGCCCTGAAAAGCCAGCTTTTAAAGATAGGCCAAATTCTGAACTTGGCTAGCGTAAATCCAGGGCAACTCTACTGAACTTTATGCTAATATTAACAAAAAATAATGAATATATAAGGACTCACTTATGTTCCTTTCTTGAGCTTGGGGAAGAACTATACACTTCAGTCAATTCTATGATCTCTCATCAGCATATTTCATATGTCTCGTAATGTCAGTACTCACCACGCCTATTGGAACAGCTGAAATAGGCACAACTAAGAAACTAGGCACAACCCCATTTGCCACAAGTAATACAGGAGTACTCTGGCTGACCATGAAGTATTTCTCATCTCCCAACCTCGGGCCACAATTCCTTCCCCCATCTGCCTCAGCAGGGAGCAAAAAGAAAAGAAGGGACCACATGGACCTTTTCTCTTTGGTTGACTTTTTACAACTGCATGAGCAACCAACCGGCTCTACTTACTACCAGGTGATTTCAAGGTTCAGCTTTATTGTGCCAAGGTCGTTAATGTCCACTGCAACCACCTGAGGCCGAGCTGCAAATAGGTCTTTTGTCTCACAGGTAACACTTCCCACAAGGATGTGTGTCGCAAGTCCTTTAACTTCTGTGACCTGTAAGAGACAAGAACAGGATATCTAGGACCACATAAGATATTGCAATCCTTAATTACATGGCAATGGTTTTGATTTTCTGGCCTGGACCCCTTCCTAAAAGGCTTCTAAAATATGACTATGCTTGTGGCACCTTCATAACTTACAGGAAAATTCAGATTTGTTATTTTTTAGTGAACGCATAGGTACATATGATCATGCTTCTACGTTTTCTGTATGCTTTTACAGGTGTCAGAGAGAGAACAACCACACTGGCTCAGACCAAGTAGCTATCAGACCTTGTATTTGGTCTTTTGCAGTGACCGTAAGCAGAGCCCAAGGGAAAAGTAGGAACAGAGAGAGCATATTGGATATTTTCTTGTCTAATATCCTCTCAGCAATTAACAATTTTCATGTCAGGCAATCTCCTGATATAGATGGCCTAGTTAGTAATTCCCAAGGGAGCCTTATTCTATGTATTTGTCTCCTGTAACTCTAGGGAAACGATGGGATGGAGCAGTGATGGAAAGACTCCAGTTTAGGAGGAAAAGTTGCTGCTGATTGATAGCAGTTGTAAAAATTGTTCTTTCCCTGGGGGACAGGGCATGGAGTCAGAGGAGCTTTCATTAAGAAATTTTGGGAACTGCTGTGCTCTAGGAAGCTGCCAAAAAGTCAGAGTGGTTTTCCTATGCACCCCCATCTCACCGTGAGCAGAAACCTCACAGCATTGCTACCTCACAGTGCAGCACTGCTGTTCTGTACAGGGTGGTGAGACTGAACCTCAGGACTGTTCTTGCTTATGCCCAGCTGGCCTTTGCGTGTGTTCAAATGAGAACCCTGTGTATTTCTCCAGATCAGAAGATGCTGCTCTATTATCTGAGCAGTACTGAAAAACTCATTAGTAGTGGGATTTTTTTGGTTTGGGGTTTTTCACTGCTGTTGTTTTCCTGAATACTGTTAGCAAATAGGTTTCTAGTGTTCCTTTGTGTCCTGGTTTTGGCTGGGACAGAGTTAATTTTCTTCCTAGTAGCTGGTATAGTGCTGTGGTTTGGATTTAGTAAAAGAATAATGTTGATAACACACTGATGTTTTTAGTTGTTGCTAAGTACTGCTTAAACTAAATCAAGGGCTTTTCAGCTTCCCATGCTCTGCCAGTGAGGAGGTGCATAAGAAGCCAGGAGAGAACACAGCCAGGACAGCTGACCCAAACTAGCCAAAGGGATGTTCTGTACCATATGACGTCATGCTCAGTATATAAACTGGGAGAGTTGGCTGGGGGGTGATCACTGCTCAGGAATGGGCTGGGCATATCGGTCAGTGGGTGGTCAGCAATTGCATTGTGCATCTCTTGTTTTGTATGTTATTAGTATTATTGTCTCTTCCTTAGCTGTCCTATTAAACGGTTTTTATCTCAACCCACTAATTTTACTTTTCTTTCCTGATTCTCTCCCCCATCCCACTGAGGCAGGAAGGGAAGTGAGCGAGCAGCTGTGTGGGATTTGGCTGCCTGCTGGGAGAAACCGTGACACCTTGCTTTGGTGCAAATAATCTGAGTTGCTGGAGAACAATGTGAGGCAATGTGTTAGTATGGCTATGACACCGGTCTGGGCAGAGTTAGGACAACCTCTCCTACGGGACTCCCAAACTGATTACAGTCTTGTAGCAGCTACATTGGACAATACTATAGCGCTTCATTCTAGTAGGTGTGTTGGAAATACTAATGATGACTCATTTCCATAGAGTTTTATGATCTGCTGCTGCATTTCTGCTCATGGTGCAAGAGAAGGCATCTTCCTGACTCCTGCCTTGCTTGCAGGCAAAGGAGTTTTAGCACGTGTACCTTAATGGAGATCAGTCCAACAATGAGAGGGAGGAAAACCATTTCTTCTCCATCCCAGCTTTGCTTGCCATTCACTTCTATTTTGCCTTTCAGTTTCCATCGCTGGCGACCATAACGCATGAAAATCTGAAAAAGAAAAATCCTCTTATTTTCTTGAGAAATCTGCTTTCTTGATGCACAAATATCAGAAACAGAATTGGGGAAAGGGCCTGAAGTAGGTTGGAAGAGTTAGTGGTGTAAGTGCTGCCCATTCTGCTTCCCATTGAGCCAGAAGGAAAAGGTCTATCCTGCAGGATCTCTGCCTCTCAGCTCTCGTAATCTCTCCTTTTGGTAAGGCACCCCTCACCCCCAGCTTTCACCTTCAAATAACTAGATGATTCATAACAAAGAAGCTGCAGGAGTTTTAACTCTATTTACAGGGACAGTGGTGGGGGTAGAGGGGAGGAGGGGAAGATTTGGGAGGGCAGAATGAAAGCCCCCATAGCCTTTCCTAACACCTGCAGCTTGCTGGATCTGCTGCCTTCCCAGGCAGGGCAGAGGGTAGGTGAGCTTTTGGCCATCCCCCATCAGAGACCTCCCCAGTTGCGAGACTAGCTGGCTGGTGATGGAGATGAATGAGACCCACAGTGCAGTCACACAATTTGAAGCAGTAAGAGCAGCAAGCCCGTTTTGGGCTGCGGGGCCAGCTGGGAGAGACCTGCACCAACTAATCAGCCCCGCAGAGGAAGCACACGCTGCTTGAAGGTGTGAGAGTAGCAGAAGAGATTTGTCACAGGGAATGAGACCGGGAACAAATGAATCAATGATCACGACAGCTGGGAAGTACAAATTGGGGGGATCTGTTATCAAGCTGCTGCAAATTTCTTGCAGGGTTAGCTCTGTTCTGGATTGAGTTGGAGCCTTTATTTTAATCCATCTCCAATTAACCCACTCTTGATGTTCACTGGCACAGTGCAGTGACCAGAGATCCTGACACAGCCTCACAGCAGGGAACATCTGGGTCTCAAGAAATTGTTATTCTGCATCTTTCTGCTATTGTGCCTTATGATGAAGTAAAATCTAAACATTCAGTAAAGGATGCTTGCAAGGACTTGTTCAATTTGCTCTGCGTGCATGGGATGGGGCATATGCTTTTTTCCAGAGGAATTAGAAATGTTTATCATGAATAGGACAGTGAGAAGCATGCCTTCATTCTGGGAGACAAAAAATAAGGGGGGGTTGTTTCTGGGTTTTTTTAAATTATTATTGAAATTATTAAAATTATAAAA